AGTGAAATGGATTTTCAGGTATCTTCGAGGTACAACCAAAGTATGTTTATGCTTTGGAGATGAGAAGCCAGTATTAGTCGGTTATACCGATGCAGATATGGCTGAGGATGTTGACTCGAGAAAGTCTACATCAGGATATCTAATCACATTTGCAGGGGGAGCCGTGTTGTGGCAGTCCAAATTACTAAGGTATAACAACAAGACCAAGACCGGAAAAAGATCTGCAGGTGGTGCCTTGTGTTGAAAGTCTTCCCGACAAAAGGAGGTCGGGCGGCGTGTCCCGCAAAGTTGTAAGACGCAACAACTGAACAGTTTGGCGGAGAGGATGAACAGAACTTTGATGGAGAGAGTCAGATGTTTACTCTCATATGCAAAGTTGTCTAAAAGATTTTGGGGTGAAGCGTTACCCACAGCAGTTCGCCGTTCACTCTGTTTCCCTCTATAGTATGATACTCCAGAGAGAGTATGGTTAGGAAAGGATGTTTCCTATGATCATTTGCGGGTTTGATGCAAACCTTCGTACATGTCCCGAAGGATGAACGCCCAGTCTAAGCTTGATGTCAAGACTAGATGGTGCTGATTCATTGCCGCTATGGCCAAGACCAATGTGGGCTATAGGTTTATGACCAATCCCAGAAGACGATTAATATGAAAAATCGTTGATGCTGTATTGTTTGAAGATCAGACTATTGAAGATATTGAATCAGAGTGCCAATAGATCCTGATGAAGACTCAACAGGACATACAGAGGAGTCCCTCCATTAGAACGCAAAACAACAATTGAAGATGAAGAAAATGTTCCCACAAGAAACAAGTTGCCAGGAGTGTAGAAGATCCAGAAGTTCCTAATCAGAAGATGAACCAGAGTGAAGAATTATGATTGTTCATATTCAACCACCAGCACCGGAAAGGTCTCAAACATTAAGAAATCTAGTAGAGTCTGACAAACCATCTACTAGATATCCAGTCAATGGTATGTACTGTACGACTGACGGGGAAACCGTAAAAGCTTTGAAGAAGGCTATGGAATGAACACAAGAAGGAACTTGGTTTGAAACCATGCAAGATGAAATGAAGTCCTTTGCATTTCGAGGATTAACATTTGAAGCTAGTGAAGTTGCCTAAAGGCAAGAAGCTTTGAAGAACAAGTGGGTGTTCAGTAATCAAAGGCAGGAAGAACAAGCTCCCAACCACAATTTCAAAGCTAGACTGGGTTGTGATTGAAAATTGACATCATTCGACAGTTGCTCGAATGGCCACCAGTTTTTGAACTGGAAATCGAGCAAAGGATGGAAAGACTACCTTCCTAAATGGAAGATTTGGAAGAGAATATTACATCGGAGCTGCCAAGAGGATTTCGTTAGAAAAAGAGATTGTGTTTGCAAACTGAAGAAGAGCTTGTACGGCTTTGAAGGCAGGCACTGAGACAGTGGTACAAGAAGCTTGAGTCCGGTTGATGGCGGGAGCATGGCTACAGAAAGTATCGTACTTTCAGTATCACTGTGTTTCGTATTCTCTGATGATGAGGTATATTGTTTTTGCTCTATGTGGTTGATTATTGGTGACTGTTGTCAGAATTTCTAGCTTGAAAGAAACAGCTGAAGTAAGTCTTTTGCTATTGAGAAGGACTTGGGGACCAGCAAAAGCAGATTCTTGCATGATGATACAAGGAATCGAAGAGCCAAGAAAATTCAGGTTGTCACAGGTTGAAGTAAATTTGAGAAAGTACCTTCAACGTGTTTTTAGGAATGGAGAGGATGCGTGTAAAGCGGTTAGTGTCCTCTTACTAATCACTTTTAAACTGGAGGTTCTAAAACAGTGCCCTTCGGTTCATTTGTGGTAGCTAAAGACCGAAAAAAGATCTGCAGGTAGTGCCTTGTGTCGAAAGTCTTCCCGACAAGAGGAGGTTGGGCGGCGTGTCCCGTAGAGTTGTAGCGGCGATACAAGATGGTTGGCAGATCTAATAGATTAAATAAATATTTAATTCTTTTAATAAGTCCAGAGACAACCAATTGTGGGCAGATTGCAGTTTAATCAAGTTTAGTATATTAATATATAATTATGCATGATTTCGGGTTTCAGGGTTTCTTGGATTCAAATTGGGTAGAATGTATTTTTAGGTTTGGTTTGTGGCCCGCCTTTAACCATAAGGCAAGAGCGGGTCTTTTGCTTAGTTGCCAACTATTCGAAGTTTGGCAACTGACCACGAAATAAAGGGAGAGTCGTGTGACTCTCTCATTCTCTCATTCTCTTATTCCCTCTCCTATAAATAGGAGAGAATGCGCAGTTCAGAGAGACAAACACACTAGAAATGTAGCGAGAGAGAGTGTTATAGTTTTAGGAAGGGCTTCCTAAAACGAGGGAGAGAAAAATAGTGAGGATTATTTTGGGGTGTTTTTGGAAAATGCCACTATTTTGTATACTCTCTGTGGCATGTAACCCTACGTATTGTGTTTAAGTAGTGGAAGAATTATTCGGAGTTTCGTCCCTGTGACGTAGCCCTAAACAGTTGAGGTGAACCACGTAAATTTCTGGTGTGTCCACATTTTTATTATTCCGCGTGCGATTTAATTTTCTACTTACTCGGTGAAAGGGGCCCAACGAGTGGATCAGAGCTGATGGCCCAAAACAACGGATTATCAGAGTTATTATTCCGCTGCATTAATTTTCTCTTACTCGGTTGAAAGGGCCCAACGAGTGGTATCAGAGCTGATGCCCAACAACTGGTATCAGAGTCGATATCCTAACACTATCTTACCACGCTCTCCTACTCCTATAAAGAAAGGCCAGTGCACAGAATGCTCTGCTCATCTTTCTTATGGCTCAGGATTCTGTTGATCGTCGGATATCATTGAGAAATAGGAAATTTACAATTGAAGTGTCTGAGGGTTTAAGTTGGATTTGGGGTGTACTTGTTAAAAAACGTAAAGTTTATGATATATTTAATGGTTTCACTAGAAAGGCTACATGTATTGCTATGAAACTATTATAATTTGATGCAAGCATTTATGAAAAGGCTAATAATGAGTCCGTATGAAATTAGAGCAAGTGGTGCAAGAAACAAGCCAACATGTCAATTTAGACTTCTAAAACGGATCGAAGGAAAAAAATTCCAAGTGAATGTTCATATACAGATGGATTTTACTTGTCTACGGCGAACTTAGGATTCCATTTATGGACTAAACTAATGAAAATAAGAATTTTTTAGAAATTATTCATACTTTATCCTTTTTTTTAATGTACGGTAAAAAATACCGTAATTTTAATAAAAAATTATTTTTCATTAGTTTGATCCATTAATGAATCCATAGACTAGGTTTAGACAAGTCAATCCTTATAAACATTGGTAGTTTTGGAAACCTTTTTTCTACAATTTTTTTTCCCTATAAAAGTATTTTCATTAAAAATTTGTTCTTATTTTCAATTGCAAATTTCAAACCAATAAATATTTGATGTATTTCTTTTTAGGCTAAATGAAAAAACCTGAACTTTGGCTGTTCTTCAACTTTAGCCATTTGTTTTTTTTGAAAGCAAAAGATCCAAACTTCATTAACTCAAAATATAAAACTCAGTAATACAATTAGGGATCTCATCCCACTCCTGGAGACGTGCAAAACGAGTGGATGCTTAGGCGAGCATATGAGCAGCCATATTGGCTTGTCTTCTAATCACTTGACGAACTTAATAATTGTTTACAATCAGAAATCTAGTCTTCCTCTTCATCTTTGATTGTCGTTGTCATCACCCTTCGTATCACTAAAGATTCACCTTGAATTGGATAAACATCAATTCATTTATTCATCACCCTTAATATGTCCTTTCTATCCTCAAATTTGAGAATTGCTGCCTCATTTATTTATAGTTGATCTGAAATTAATTTTCCCTCTAAAAGGTTTCCTTTTTTGTTCCTTTCAATATTAGTTGCAAGCCTATTACTTTTATTTGTGGTAGCAACCCAATCAGTTCCATAAACAAGTTTCCTGGCACCATGAAGGGAAACTTGTTTTTCAGCAGTTAAAAGTATATTTATGAGCATCCTCAATATTATGTGGACAAACTACTCCCATCTCATCTCTAATAGACTGATTTAAATCAGTTAGATAGTAAGATGTAATTTGCTCATTACTTTTGGATAAACCAACTCAAATTGATAAGTTATTGAACTCAGCAGTGTACTCCTCAACAACATGTTATTTTGCTTCAAGTAATAGAGCTTTTCATACAATTCCATCGCATAATCAGTGGGTAAAAACTACTTTCATAGCTTAGTTTTTATGTGCTCCCAAGTGCTGATTTTAAGTTTTCCTTATCATATATAAATATATGTTGCTCTTCAACTCTCTTCCACCATTGAAGTGCAACACCTTTCAATTTAAGATTTACAAATAACATCTTTTGATTTTCAGCTATAGGTTTTCATTTGAAATAATTCTCTAGACTGGCTTTCCAATCTAAGAAATCTTCCACATGTAATTTTCAATGAGAATCAGCTACTTCAATCCTTGCCTCTCCACCATTCAAATCAAGAGCATGCAGTAACTACTCTTCCAATCCATCTCGTGCCGCTCAATTGGCGAGTCCAACTTCGTGGAAAGGGTTCACATCCTCGACTTCTTTAGTCTGAAGATCCTCTTGAATCTTGAATGGTTTGTGGTTGCCTTCCGGAATCTCCATTCAGGCCTCCACACGTTCGTAACGCTGCAAGGCTTGTACAATATATGTCAAACCTTCAATCATTTGTTGTATCTCAGCCAATTCTGTTTGTTGGGGCCAATTTCCTCTACCTCAAATTCTACCTCTACCAACCATGGTTTAGAAAAGAATAGAAAAAAAATCTTGCAGCAGTTTAGGATCTTTTTACGATTCTGAACCACTTGATGCAAGGGGAGAATTTAGGGCTAGAATAGATTAATTGTGATTGGAATAAGATATGATAATTAGTTTTAAAGAAAACCTTAGAATTAAAATTCTGAATTGAAGGATAAAAAAAAAAAAAAACATAATCTGATAATTGTCGTCTTATTTATTCTAGTTAGGACAAATCCTAGCTAATCCTAGATTGAAAATACTTCATAGATATTAATGAAGAACTCCTGCATCACATTACTTATTCAAAAAAATAAAAAATAAAAAAAAAATCACAGTACAGTATATCTTCACTTCTTCTTGTACAATACATCCAGTTTGTCTCAAATCATACATCCTAAATGAAACTGCAAGAAAATCAAAGAAAAACATTTAAAAAAAAAAAAAAAAAAAAAAGTACAAGTATATCTTCACTTCTCTGTGTACAATACATCCAGTTGTGTCTCCAAGATGCATACATCCTAATGTAAACTTGCAAGAAAACAAAAGAAAAAAAACATTTAAAAAAATTAAAAAAAAAAAAAAAACTAATCATAGATCAATGCATGCGAAAAAATGTGGAGAAACTGTAGAGAATTGGTTAGGAGTTAAAACAAAAAAAAAAAAAAAAAAAAAAACTAATCATAGAATCAATTGCATGCAAAAATGTGAGAAACTGTAGAGGATTGGTTAGGAGTTAAAAACACCAGCAAGCATGTTGGGGAAAAGAAGAGATGCTTTGTTTGGCAAGAAAGTCCCTCAAAATTTTGTCTGCAAAATTATACACATAAGAAATATTTGAAGAAATATAAATTTAGCAAATGATATTCCAATTTTGTGGTCATAATGAATCATTATTTTTCAGGGAAGGATCACTATAACTCCATAATTACATATAAGTCCTATAGATACGTAACCATGATTTCATAAGCAGCTCATAAAGCAACTTAAAGATTAGTTTTGGTTTGGTTCATATAACCGAAAATCTAAACCAGACCGAGTAATTTTGGTTTGGTTCAGCTCCTAATAGATTAGTTTTGGTTTGGATGGGTTAATTATAAATATTAATTAGTTTTTCGGTTATGGTGCGGTTAGTCAAAAAAAATCTCGGTTAATCCAGATTAGCACTCATGATATATTTTTTTTATCTCAGATTTTTTTTTTTGTGTGTAAAAAAAGTTGCATTTTTTACCCCATATCAAAATAAAACCAAGAGTGCAAATTATAGTTATATAGTTTTTATGGCAAGTGACAATAATATGGTATAACTTTTGAAATTACTAACAGAGAAAATCATGCTTAATTGGTTACTAATTGTAATTTTGTAACTCAAAGTTGAATGAATGTTTCTCTTAATGTTAATTATATTAATTGTTATTTGGATAGTTTGATTTAGATATGATTGCCTTTGTAATTTTTGTTTGGACACTTGTGATTTGTTGGATTAATTAATTAATTTTATCATTTATTTTTTTATTCATGCAATTATCTATAAATTTATAAGCATATGTATATAGTTAGTTGCTTTAAGAGTACAAACTGCAAATCTAGAGATAGGAACACATTGAAAAATTTTGGATTTGGATATTTTCTTGTAATCAGTTTGGATTAACCAACTTAAAATATTAATCCAATTATTCGGACAGTTGCAATTTTTTGTAATAAAATCGCATGTTATTGGGTTCGTTTACTTTCTATTTTATATTAAATATGGTATTGGATAATTAATTTATAAAAGTCGGCTATATTCAAATTGAGTTATTCGGTTTTGATTGATTAGAATTAACCGAATACTCACTCCTACTAAGTGGCATATAATGAGAAAGGTGAATCAACTGGCTTACGTTATTTTGTGTTAAGATAAGTTGAACTCATTATAAACCCAATATTAAATATACTACTAATGCTACTTGAAGTTGATTACTTTGCACCTAGGGCTCATATTCTTAATACTATGCTTCCCCTTTAAAGTCACAAGGAAAATTTAGGCAATAAATTAGAAAGGTGATATGAACACGACATATTTAACCTGTCTAATATCATAAACAGGTTAAATGGGTCGTATTGACCTGTATATGACCCACTTAACTTACTTATAATATTTTTAAATTTTAACCTAGTTAACTCAAATTATGTTTAAAAATAATTTTTCATACATAAAATGCATAGATTTTTCAATATTCATAACTAAAATAAAAAATTAATACAACAATAAAGTTTAAATAGATTTTAGTTGGAGTATTTAAATTTGACAATAAAATTACCTCTTTTCACTTAAATAAACGGATGACTCGTCTAACCCACGTGTCAACCCATGACAAGACAAGTTTATATTCGTGTCATAAATAAATAATCAGTTTATAATACGAACCCGTTTAACTTCAATCTTAACCTGTTTGTTTCGTTTGTTAAGAAAATCATGTTTCCGTGTCAAACACATTTTTTACACCCCTACTATTTGGGTTTTAAATTTTGGAGAGTTTGTATGTTAGTGCATAATTATTCGAAAATCAGCTAAAATTTTTTGAATGTCGACATTTTAAATTTTGGAAGGAGGTACCTCTAACGTCAGCCAAGCTCGTAGTCATTTGTGTCTCCTCCCGATTTGATTTTTGCGCAGAAATCGGTGTCTACCATAATTAGATGAGTCAAGTTGCTAACTTGAGCTCACAAAGGTAAGTCATGAAACTGCTCAGGTGGATGGGCTTTCGTGAAGATATCAAAATGAACCAAAATGAGACGAAGAAGAGTGTCCTTGACAAGGTGATGACAAACAATCTAGATGGTACTTTGATTTGATTGACACATTAGATGGAGATACGCCCATATCTTGTAATAGCCATCTTAATCAGACAAGTTCAGATACTGGAGCGAGAAAACAGTGTTTGCTCCCTACTATACTGAGAGAAGAGAATCTCCTAGAAAGAAAAGAATCAAGTTAGTAATGCTAATGAATTTTTAAGTACAAACTACACATTTAAAATTAAATTAATTCTATGATTTATCAATTATGAAATATGCAATATTTCAGCTGAAAAAAAAAAGCAAGTTTCAATGGTAATATAATACTGATCTGCAGAAAAACAGACATAGAAGATACAGAATAGTGACAAAAGTTCATAGCATACACCTATTATTATATTGACTAGAATAATCAAATCAAGGCATCAAAATTGACATGCTTTATTCATAAAAGAAACAGCATTGAACATATAAAGGTATCTCTTTGCCATTCACCTCCAAATTGCTGGAAGAAGTGGAAAGAAACCCACCCAACCATAACAAAGCAGTATGCCATTAAATTAAATTTCCTCGTTTCAAGGATTAGGACTCGATTCTCCTCTTGTTTTTTCTCTTGGAATCCATCAGTTTCACCAACGAGGGAAGAGGCTGAGGCACAGGCACATTCATTGACCTATAATATTTTCTCAGGTTATGGCTAAAATTGCTTGATGATCCAATTGGGGAATAAGGTGCAACTTTATGCGCCTCGTTCTTCACTGAGTTCTCACATTTTTCTTCAGCAATACAAATATCTAGCTTCCTCTGCAATTTATTTCTACATTTCACTTCACTCTCTTCAACTTGAACTCCTTGACCTATTTTCTTTGTAGTAACTTGTGGAGATAGATCATTTATGAACACAATTTTGTCCTTGAGCGGGGAATTTGAGTCTTGGAAAGAGAGTCTAGCTCTACCAAATAAAGTAAGGGGTGGCCTATTGCTCGGGGGTGACAAACTCAAGAGATGGCTAGAAGATGGTTTTTCTGGCTGCAATTGATATTCCTCGGAAATTTGTGTGGGCCCTTGAACTACAAGAGAATAACCCAAGCCTTTTGCTGATGTATCTGCTCTTGAAGAGGTTTCCACACTTATGTCCAAAAGCTTCCAGATAGGATCATCATTTGAAGTTAATCGAGTTCCAAAGGAGCATTTCCTAACATAGTCTAGCTCCATAGCTCGGCAATTGGGAGTTGTTGACACAACCCATTTAGGTACAAGAAGCTGCAGTGCCCACTCCAACTCTTCTCTAGAAGAATGCATAGAGTAACAAACATGCCAAACACCAAATGAGTCCCTCACAGCTTCATTGAACCTTAGTTTTCTTTGACTTTCAGTGCCAGAATCACCTTCCTCGCATGCATACCACTGTGCTGAAGGGCGAATAATCAGAGGCTCTGGTTGAAAATTAGCCTGGGCCTCCGCGAGTTTTGCAGCAGCTCGTTCAGACAATTTCGGAAATCCATCAAACACATGGAAACGTGAAGATGGATCTTCAGTGAGGATTTGAGGAACTGTGTGTGTCAGGGCTTGAAAGCATTCGGGATTGGCAGTTTTGTCAACATATATTTTAGAACCAAATGTTTGAGACACATCAGCCAATATATCCTCCTGACCGAGAAGATCGCAAGTCAGATACACAACAGTTGCTGCAGGGTGCTTCCATATACAATTGATAACCTGCTTCGAGAATTGCAATTTTAAATGTCAGATAAATCTAACAGGATTCGCTAATATAAAAAGATTAACATCTATCCTGCAAATGAAGAAGCATGTACAGTGAACAGAGATGGAGATAAAATGTTATATAAAAAGATGCATTTGCATAAGAGTAGCATATAATTTATTGAAGGCGCAAGGCAAGATAAGGTGCAAAGGATTCCTTGATTAAGCCTAGGCAGAAGACATAAGCGTAAGGCCCAAAGGGGTCCTCAATTAAGCCTAGGCACAAGGCATAAGCGTACACCTGAGTGACATGAAGTGCAAAAGAAAAGGAAAAAAGATAATTAACACTATATAAGATAACTACCCATATAGTCATATTAATAACATAAAACATTTAGAGTTGTTGCATAGTTTTTCTAAAATCTAAATAAAATAAGAACTATAGATGTTAAAATGTCTTTTAACCCTAATCCTAGGGTAATAAAGTTGAATTGCATATAAACAAGGAAATTTAGGCCATTATAATTCAAAAATAGAAAATCTACAAATAGGAAAGTCAAATCATGTCAGCCAAATCAAAGGAATGGGAAAGTGAGAAAAAAAAAAAAAAAGAAAAAAGGTTTTTAGAGTTTTAATTCCTCTTATATGTATGTGTCTATATATAAGTCCATCCCTAAAATATTGCAAAGAGTGACCAGATGAAATAACATAAAAAGGAATAATAATAATACTCATAAAAAGCAAATATAGCAGAGGCGTGCATAGGCGCACACCTTTCTGTTAAGGCATGTGCCTGATGTAGGTCGCCTGCCTCAGAGGGTTGAGGTACAAGGCAGAATGAAGCATTGGAAATCAAAATTCTATTGTAATAATCATTTTTCAAATGTAAGCAAAAGTTTTTTCCACTGATCTCAAAGTGCTCATGTTCAGTGCCCTGGAATATGCAATTACTGTCTCAAACTCGTGGGAAGTTGCATCTATTTCTGCGTCAGTAGGCATTGCAAACACCATGTAAAAGGAATTTGATACTTATAGTTATAGTAGAAACAATTAGAGGCAGATGAAACAAGCACACATTTATTGTGAGCTTATGGCAGCCAACAGCCACAAGCGCTTGTGCATTAATCAGAAAGATAAGCAGATAGTAAAACATTTGTATTAAGCACTTCAAATTGGGCTCATATTATTAGGTAAATATGGGAAAATAAGCATTGATGACAAATACCCATCATTGGTGTTTTTCAAATACAAGCAGAGATGAAAATAATTTAGGTTTAAGTTATATAAGCATTGTGCATCAGATTCCAGTAAGTTTTTAACATTGTATTCTTTAAAAATTAACCACTAATAGCAATATTTGATTGAACAAAGCTGGAGTTCATCAAACAGCACCAGGCATCCTCATCTATATATATATATATATATTCATTTTCCTACTTGTAATTGACCATGCATCCTTCCATTTTGATAAGAGATGGATAAAAATCAGACACAAATTTTTTTTTTCCAGTAGGCAAAAAGAAAAAAAAAACAAAATTCTAGTAACTTTGATCACATGGAAGCTATGCAACACAACACACTAGAATATTTCATCACCTGTTTTTCATAATTTCTCCATGTTAAGAAAATTGTTTTGGCTTTTGAATTTAGTTAAGTAGATATTAAGCCTACGACTTTTTCAGTAGTTTATTTTGTTTGGATTCTTGTTCTTTATTATCTCTGTGCAAAAACATCAATAATAAATTCTGGTAACTTTTGATAACAAAGAACCTATGGAACACAACAAACTATTATATTTCATCACTTGTTTTTCATAATTTCTCCATGTAAAGAAAATCTGCTTTGGCTTTTGAATTTAGTTAGGTAGATATTAAACCTATGACTTTGTCAGTAGCTTATTTTGTTTGGGTTCTGGTTGTTCGTTATCATCTCAGTGCTGAAAGGAAAACTCCTTGATGCTTAGTGAGATCACAATTGGAAAGAAAGAAGCAAAAATGGATAGAGACAGAAAGGAAACAATCTAAATGTTTGATGGACATGAAAACTAAGATGATTGCAGAAGCAACATTTTTTCCCTCTTATTTGCTTTATTTGTTTGATGGACATGGAAGCTAACTTCTGATTTTGCTTTATTTTCTTTACTGATGCATGTGTCGTGTACAACATGATTTCCATAAATCATATTTCAAAATTTAGTTGCGATGTTACAAATAAAATGATAATTAATACGATAATTGGGTATGGCTACAATGAATAAGTTGTCAGAATGAAAGCGAATGAACACATCCAAAAGAAGAGCTGACACCAAGTAAAAGGAAGCTGAGGAGCCATTATTTTCAGGTAATTTTGCAATATGAGATGTAGAAATGCATTCTGTGGTCAAAGGATGATTTTGTATTCTGGCAGAAGATATAATTAATGAAAAACATAGATTAAATGCTTCACGAGAAATTTTACTACACAAAAAGGGGTCCATTTCATAAAAAGAGATGTCCTTTCACAGAGTGAAATGGAGGAAAAATACCCAGCAGACTGTGAAACTTTGAAGCTTAGTTATGTATGGTGTCCTTTTCTATAGCAAAACACTTGTAAATAATGAAGAGCAAGTAAACAAACACACGTAACATGTGCATGAGTAGCATACTTCCATATAATAATCAAGGTACATGGACATCAGTATAAGGTCAAGCAAAATTACCCCCATGTTTGATACCAAGCTTAAACAGCAGATAAGAACATGAAATGGAAGTGAGAGAGAGAGAGAGAGAGCACCTGTTGGGTTGCTGAATGTTTGCCTGGAAGTTTCTGATGAAATCTCCCGAATGTGCAGTCTAGGAAAACATAATCAAGTTGGCATCTAGGCTCTCTTCCTTTCTTGTTAATATACTTCTCTGGAAAACATTGCAGACACTCTGGAGTGAGCCTACAATCTCCTGTGTGCAAGATATTACCGAAAATGCCCTCAAACAAGAACATTAAAGCTCCTGAAGTTCATAAATCCATGCCAGACAAGGGATCATCTGTAACTGGTGTTCTCCAAAAATCATTTGTAGGTCACTTAAATATTTAAAAGATCGAGCAAGCAAGATTAATCCAAACATGTCATATGCTCATGCATTACTTTCAAGGTGGTGAAAACACAATGTACTAATGCAGGACAGCTTATAAAAATTCTAAAACCAAGGAGATTGCGAAGTTAACTGAGCTAGGTGCTCTAGAGCGACTTAAGAATTGTTCAATTGAAAATTGCACTTGCTTCAAGTTAAAGTACTTCAGCGACAGGGTCTCAGCACACAAAAAAGTGTTTTGGAATTTTATTAGGACCTCATCAAAGATTAAAAAGATAATAATAATAATAGTTACTTCTTCTTTTGTATGAATACACATTGATTAAATATCATACTCAAAAGTATCATAAGCATCCCATGCTTGAGTTCTCATTAAACTTATCAACATGGTCTGCAGGGAACAACAAAGATAGTTTCCAGCAACAGATAAGACAGACACTTGCTACTCTTATTTCTTTCTGTGGTTGACTGGATTAGTAAATTCCATTGGTCGGCTATTTGAGTGATGGATTTACCATTGTTTTTTAACTTTGGTTCTAAACAAAAGAAACATCTCCTAAATTATCGAGTTTCTGAATACAGCAAGACATCCTGAAATTGCTGCTGTATAAGTACGTCGAGTTACAGATGCCAATGCAAAAACTAAATGATTCAGTACATTCACTTGCACATAGAAGACAACTAAAACCAAACAATGCTAATAGAACATGGAAAGCATGATCTCACATATTCTGTGAAGAAACAAAAGAAGATAAATGTCAATTACATAATGACAAATTGATAAAAGAAAAAATTAAGATCAATAATGCACATTTCTTAATCAGCAAATAAATATTCCAACAGATGGGCCATAAACCCTACGGAAAATGCAGAGCTATTACTTCATCTATTTATTCACCATCTTAATCTATATTTATCTTCTTTGTCATACAAATATCCCCAACATGCCCTATCTGCACATATCTAATTCTCCCTAGTACTTCCTTGAAACATCTTAAGACCATATTACACTTTTGCCTTCCATAAAAATCCAGAAAAACTTATTTAATTCAAGGTGGCAATAATCCATCCCAACCCAAATAATAGACAACATTCATTGTCTGCACTTGTTAAAGTCTAATTCATAAATAAAATATAAATATTTTCCAAATTTTGAGTAGCTGAACTGTTTCAAGTTTTCAAACAGCCAACAGATCAAAGTTGAAACAGAAATTAAAACTCAAATAGGCTGTAACCAGCCAAGTAAATCATAATGGTCAATGGATGATAACTTAATTACATAATCCGAAGTTCAGGCCATGCATGAGGGAAATTTACAACACCCGCAAGGATTCAGGGAGAAAAGAAAAGAGATTATCACAGTAGCGATGAACATTAGATAAAATTGATGCACATGCAATCTGTATGCATCTAATTGTATATGGATAAAAAACATATGAGATTTTACTAGCCAATAGAAGCAGAAATGAAAAGTTTCTTGGACCTAACAACATACCTTCAAATAAAAAACCCATAACACAGACGCAAAACAACAGGGGTAATAAAATAAAGAAGAAAATGAAATGGAGATGTAACATAAGGCAGAAACCAAAAGCTCTAAATAGATTATTTGGACAAGCCTTCTAATTTACAAGGAAAAATAAAATAGATTATTTCAAATACGAAACCCATTTCACAAGCATATCTCTCCCTTATACTTATTATAAGGGAGAATATAAGTTCAAAAAACTAAAATCATCAATTACCAGGGCAGTGATTCGCATCCAAAGCTGTAACCCAGAATTGTCCATCTGGGTCATCGATCACCATCGATTGGCCCACTTCAATACCCACAAACAATGAATCCTCAAGCTACAAATCACAAAAGAATAATAAAATTGCAAATTAAGAACAAATCCTGACACGGGTATTCTTAAAAAACGAAAGAGAAAATTGTTAGGAGGGAAAAACCTGAGGGTAATGATGGAGAACAAGGGATTTAGTTAGATGGGTAGAATAAATTGGGTAAGAAGAGTGGGTTAAGATTCCAGAGCAATGATCTTTGTGGGCATGAGTCAAGAAATGATGCCTCTTCCGCTTCGAACTTGGACTCCATGTGTCCACTGAAAATGGTAATCCTCTAGGCATTTCTATTGGCATCTTTTGCGATTGTTTTCTGTCGATTGAGAGAAAAAATGAGGGAAATCCACAGACTTATTTATTCTCCTTTATTTCCCTCTCAAAAACCAAAAGCTTCCAGAGAAAGAAGGAGAGGGAAAAGTGATGCTTGTGCCTCTTCTCTTTGGACTGATTAAGCAAAGGGCCTAGTCAGACGCGATACTACGTGGATTGGCCCATCCTTGACCTTGATCATACGTGCACACCAATTACAGAACAAAAATTAATAAGGCTTAATTGTAAATTTAATATATGATCTTTCTGAAATTGTTCATAAGAAAATTTACAATCAGGTGAACTCTGCCTTTCTCATCATCAGAAGTTAGATATTCAGCTTGGCTTCCTACAGATATGGTTATCAATGTATTGTTAAAAAGCCTTATCCTCAGTTACATTGTCTAAAACATTTTTCCAATTAATTACTTTCAATTGGTTACAGTCAGAGAAACTGAATTACCAGCGATTATAAGATTATACATATCATAGGATTTGTCAAGCTTCAAGTTCATACATCCTCAAAGTTGCTTGATTTATGTAAAGAATGAAAAATAATGCCGGAAAAATAAAAAAAAATAAAAAAAAAACACCAAATCTGAAATTCATGGTCAATTACTCTTTCCCTTTATTTGGGAAATGGAAAATAAGAGTGGAACCAAAATAATCAAAGTAAAATAAGAGAGTGAAGGAAAGTAAACTCTTCCTAAATAATCCACTCACTGGATAAGCTGCTTCCAAAATAAATTATATTTATATTTATAACCAAAATAGCCAATGTATATAGATATTATTTGCCAAAGAAAGCTGCAGCAGTCTAATACAAATATATACAATCACAGCATACTCAATTTTACCATCTAAAGATTGATTTGCCAAGAATAGAGCATGTTCTGAGTCATGTTGAAGTAACAACTTCAAATACGACAAAACCTCTTGCCGCTGTATAACAATTGTTCCATCCTCAAATCTCACTTCAAGTTTACATCCTGAGAACGTTTAGAGCAGCTTAGCAGCTTTTGCACAAGCGGATCATCAGGCTTGTTCATAACTAAATTTATTACCAACTCTGTGGTGGTGGCATCTGCAGAAAAACCCTTGCCAACCATTTCATCAATATTACCAAACTCTGTGGTGGGTGGCATCTGCAGAAAAAACCCTTTGCAAACCCTTGCCAACCATTTCATCAATAAGTTATGTTGCCATGGACGAATCGTTGTGCCGGAGATATCCTTGGATAATCACATTATAAGAGCAAATATTTGGTAAGCAGCCATTCTTTTCCATTTTCCTGAAAACCTTGAATGCTTCATCTAGGAGGCCTTCTTTACAAAGCCCATTGATGATTATAGTGTATGTATACACATTAGGCTGCAACCCTTCTATGGAAAGCCTAGAAAACAGTTCCTTTGCATTTTTCAGCTTTCCAGCTTTGAACATACCATCAATTAGAGTACTATATACAGTTATATCAGGCTTCAATAAGTTGTTCTGCATTTCATGAAATAGGCTCAATGCCACAGCTGGACACCTATGCTTACAAAAGCCATCTATCAAAATTGAGTAAGTTACCACATTTGGAGAATGGCCACTAGCACACAAGTCCTTGAAAAACTTACATGCAGCTTGAGGGCTCTTTGCTTTACACAAGCCAAGTATAAGGGAGTTGTAAGTGACATGGTCAGGAATCAATCCTTTGCGAGGCATTTCATCAAGAAGCCTCATTGCCTCATCTATCCTTTTTCTCCTACAGTAACAGTCAATCATGATACTGTATGTAACAACATCAGGTGTACAGCCCTTGCTTAGCATCATGTCAAAAATTTCTCTAGCTTGATCCATTTTGTTGAGTAGACAATATCCATTCATCAAAGAGCTGTAAGTCGCAACATCAGGCTTTATTCCTCCTCGCAATCAGGCTTTATTCACCTCTTTGAATCATGCATTTGACTTAAACCATGAGCCCCTTTTGCAACGCCTTCCTTCCTTACAAGCCCATCAACCAATATACTTGAAGGTAATTAATTTGAGTGATGTTTGCTTCCAACCATTTTCATTGAGCTTGCATAGAAAGCTTCTTCTCATCGGGCCTGAATTTGCACAGACCATTAGATTAACAAGAGCTGTAATCCAACATCAAGGCTTTATTCCTCTTTGAATCAATCAATTTGGACAATACCAATGAGCCTTTGAAACCTCTTCCACACTTACCAAAAGCCCATCGACCAATATACTTGAAGGAATTAAGTTTGGAGTGATTGTTTTGCTTCCAAGCATTTCATTGAGCTGCATAGAAGCTTCTTTCCCATCGGCCTGAATTGCACAGACCATAGATTAAAGAGTGTGTAAGTCCACAATGCTCGGAGAGATGCCTTCACTCTTCAATTTTCAAGAAGAGGGCTCTAATGCCCTCGTAACCAATCTATCCTTCAAGGCTGTCAAATGATAGCATAACATGACACCAAACAGGCTTCACAACCTCCTCGACCATTCTTTTCAGAATAACCAAAGGCCACAATTGGGTTTTCCTAATTGTTACACAGGACCCGTTGACAATCACGTTATAGGTATAGCACATAAGGTTTGATAGCCTTTTTGCAACCATCTCATCAAATAATTCCACATGTTCATCAAATCTATCCTCCACTACAAAGCCGGCGTTAATCAAGGTATTAAGTCGTTATAATGGGGCTGAAAACCAAGTTTGAAGATTTTTCCCCAAAAGAGAGAACCCAAAATCCACGCGGGTCCAGAATGGCAAAAGCAATTTAGTCATATTTATAGAAGAAATATCGAGTGAAATTCCAAATCAACTCCATCCTGTTTGTTAAAGGAGAAATTTAACAGTCTCATAACGCTTCAATCGAACAAAGTGGGAGATAGTAAGTTATTAAATTCCACAATAGATGGTGAGGAAATTCCACAATAGATGGTGAGGGATTACTGTGAAGCATCAAATGGAAAGAAGCCAAAGGATCAGATTTGCTTTTACCTGTCGCGTGTGTACTGTTAGAAGTACTATAAGAAACGGAATCAAAAATACCCATTAGCCGATGAAGCCGAAAATTAGTAAGGCATCTGGTGGTTGTTGAGATCATCTTGGATAATATACGAAATTAGAGAGAAAGACCCAACCTTGGATAGATATTGGCTTACAGGCCTATGTCTTACATAGCAGAAAAAAACTTGTACCGCAGCAGTTTAGGTAACCAACAAAACGACACCGCATCAATACCTTTCTTCTCTGTCGGAGCTCGAGGTCCAAATTATTTTACCATAGAAAAATTAAATGACATGAAAGTCTAAATTATTTACTAATGTAAAATTAAATCATATGAAAATATAAAATTAATTAATGACATGAAAATTTTAATTATTTATTAATAGAAGATGATATCATAAAAGATCAACTTGATTTTTTCCTTTCTTTTAGAATTTGATGTTTTTAAATTGATTTTTTTTATTTTCTCTATTAAAATTGACATAAGTTGAAAACAATTCATAAACCAGAAAGATTTTAATAATTTGAAATTTTTGAACAATTCATACAATAGTTGAATGATTTTGAAACTCTGATTTTAAAATACTATTCATGAATGCAAGATTATTTTTTCTTTTTTATTTTTTTGAAATTTAATAATCACATAATTAAACATTTATTTGGTTACATACATTTCGCCTATTTGAAAGAATTAAACTCAATTTAATAATAATTATAACATTTGGGTTTATAGATGATAAGAAATTGCAATTGAATGGAAATAATTTTAGATTTATTTTTTTACGTAATATCAAATAAAATCCTCTCCTTACCTTTTTTTTATTTATTTATTTTTTATAAGAAGTACATTATACCATGTAACCCACCCATGTTCAAAAACAAAAAAATTTTGAGGATTAGAATTTACGAGCTTATGGATTAGAATATATATCAGCTTGTTAGAAGAAAATAATTTACCAAATAAAAAGGGTATGTTTTAGTAAATATTAACTAAAATACTCCGAATTTTTATTTTCGAAACTTTCAAATTTTCAATAAATTAAAAATCTTGATTTTCGACTATATGAGTTATAAAACACCGAATGATCTTAATTTGAGCCCAAAGTTTTACGAATTGGGCTCAAGCCCAAATATATCATTGAAATTTTCGATTTGAGAACAGCTAAAAATTTTTGAGAAATAATATGCAACTCCAGCAATTAATCTATTATGAATATATATATACTTAAATCAAATATTATTACTATTTATATTTTTTTTGAGTTAATGAAGGAAATGATAGGGAACCTAATTAAAATAATCAAATAAATCGAACCAGGCCCAGAAATCAAATTGATTTTTCGAAAACCACACGAATAATCTGAAAATCAATTGAAAAACTTGCAAACCGAGCAAAAATCGAGCCGAATCATTGAATTAGACCAAACTGATTCGAATCAAACTGAAATGGTCTAGAAGCTCCAAGATTTTTCTGTTTTTTCTTTTTTTTTCCTTTCTCTTCTTCCTCTCCTTCCTTGCGCCAACGCCAGCGCGCGACAGGCTCCTCTTCCCCTTGCATTGTGTTTCCGGCCACCGCACGACGAGCACGTGGTGGCGAACGACTCACCGTTTGCCGCTGACTGCGTTTCCAGCCTCCTCTCACGCGAACGGAGCTCAAGCGGCGCGATCGGACCTGCTTCTACAACCGCAGCTTGCTCTTCCATTCTCAAGCGAAATCTCGCCATTCAATCGATCGCAGGCGACGGGAAGGGTGCCAATAGACTCCTAATCACCTCTAGAGCATTTTCCTTCCATAAATTTGCGACTTTATCTAGGTTTGAGAAGCAATCGTGTGCGGAGGAGGTGCAGGGGCTGTCGGGCCCGATCCGGCCAATTAGAGGACCGATCTCACTAAATTAACACTAGAAATGGAATCCTTGGTGAATTTTGAGTCGAATGGTGTGATCGTTGCAAATTTTTGGGCAAGGCACATTTTCCGGCCACCGTGCACGGCGGCGGTTCGGCGACACTTCGGCGAGGCACCAAAAAGGCAGAATCTTCCTCTTCTCGTGTAGGCTGTGAATTCGTCGTCCGATTTTCAATCGGTATACTCTAAACCTTAATTCGCAATTTTTGAATAAATCTCGAAGAAAATCGGTACACTCTAAACCTTAATTCGCAATTTTTGAATAAATCTCGAATTAATTAATTAATAAATTTAATTAAGTATTTAAACAAATTAAATTAGATATTGTTAAATATATTTCATGAATATTAATATTAACTATAAGGTTGGTATTGAAATATAAATTCGTAGCTAATAATAATGTAAGTAAATTTTAGGAATTTTATTAACAAGTAAATAGTTATAGAATAATTAATTTTAATGGGAATTTAGCTTGATTAAGAATTTGCCCGGTGAATGGGCTGTGTGAATTGAATGAACGAATGAATGATGGTTATGGGGGACGGGATCAGTTAATGTGAATTGCCTAATGGATGGACTATGTGTTGACATGTGGAATATGTAAAATTTGGATAATCCGGTTTATGGAGGAAATGCTGCCGAATTTTCGACAAAACACTTAATAAAGAATGAAATCAGTTATATCCTTAATAGGTAGTAACAACTAAAGTTTTAGTATTATTATTATTATTATCATTATTATCATTGTATTTATTATTATAAAAATATTACTTACTAAATAATTAGAATGCTTTATTATAAGTTATAAATTAGAATAATAAAATAATTATTATAAAATATTACTTACTAAATAATTAGAATGCTTTATTATAAGTTATAATAAGAATAATAATAAATAAAGGAACGATCATATGAAGGATATATATATATATATATATATATAATTAATTTATAGAGCCTCAAAAAGTAATAAATGAATGCAAAGTATATTTATCGAATTAGAATTCTTACTTTAGAATTTTCTTTTAATTTAGAGGTTTATAAAACTTCGAAATGTGAGGACAAAAGCTGGAAGCATGCAGTGATAAAGACAATCCTTTTAAAGGACAATAAATAATTGTGAATAGTGTTAGATAACTAGTATCATCCGCCTACATCCTTGCATTCATGCATTCACAGCTAAATGTTATCATACATTATTTTGTTGAATTGCCATATTATGATGTACTATTTGTTGATATTAAAAAATGTTTGATTTTGATTACTTGTGTTGTGATATTGCTATGCCTTGTTTGTGTGGAATTGGGATGAAGTGGGTCACCATGAGTTTGTGAGAATGGTATATGTGATATGGATCATGAATATGAATTGAAATTTGGCCAGGTAAATGTGAGATTGGTGCTCCCGTGTGCACCTGATGATATGGATTTTATGGAAACCATAGGTTGGTCTCTTTGGGCGCAACTGATAATCTAGATTTGATCGTAGTCTGCAGGGTGGCCTCCTGTTGTGTGCGCCTGAAGATCTAGATTTGATGGAGACGACCGAGTTGCCTCCTGTTGGTATGGAAAAGAAAAGAGAGAATGGAAAAACAATGAGAGGACTGGTCCTGGTCATGTTGAGGATTAGACCGGTCGACCCACGTATGGGGGGTTGGCTCCTGGTGCACACGTGAGTGGATGGCCATATGGAGGGGCTAGGGAGTTTCATGTGACGCCAACTGACTAATTTCCACATGATGTGATTATAATTGGAAGGTAGATATAATTGTGATTCTGTTGTTATTGTCATTTGTGTGACAAACTTGCATTTGATCATTTAACTATCGGGTGACCAGATAAAATCATTTTAGTGTTTGTGTCATTGTGGGGTTAGAGAGTTATCTAAACCCTTAATCATTGAGTTTGGAGCGCTCACCCCTGCCTACTATTTTTTTTTTTTAGGTAATTAGAAAGAAAGAAAGCCCTTATGGAGTTGACACGTTATTTATTTTT